TCTCTCCCTCTCTCCCTCTCTCCCTCTCTCCCTCTCTCCCTCTCTCCCTCTCTCCCTCTCTCTCCCTCTCTCTCCCTCTCTCTCTCTCTCTCTCTCTTTCTGTCTTTCTTTGAAGTGGGCGTATGGGGAGGTCTCTAAATTGGGTTCGCGTTTGGGGGCCTCTATTGCAGGGTGCCGTGCTCACTAGGGACCCACCCAGGCACTCTAGTTTAGCTCTCCAATCGCGTTCTCTCAGAGGGCATTAGGGCTTCCAGGATGCAGGGAGCCCCTTCCCTAAACGCTAGAACCCAAAACCCTAAAGCACTAAAACCCTAAACTCTAAACTCTAAACCCTCCAAAGCCTGTGCAAGCAGTCGAGGTGCTCATCACGCGCACCTTTGTGACCCTCGAGGGGCTGGTGGATCGCGCGCTGACCCCAGCCTTGGGTTTAGGGTTTAGGGTTCAGGGTTCAGGGTTCAGGGTTCAGGGTTTAGGGTTTAGGGTTGAGGGTTTAGGGATTAGGGATGAGTAGTTCTGGTTCTGGGTTTTCGCCGTTTGAAGCCGTTCAATGTAGGTTCTTTCGTTTAAGGTTCCAGGATTTGTTTGGGTGTGGGGCTTGGGGGATCGCTTGAGATGTTCCCCCTTACACTAACAGTCCTTCATAGGGATTATAGTAGGGATTATATTACTGGGATTGTAGTAGGGATTACAACCAGGGGGGGGACTTCAATCCCTATTAAGGACTGCTAGAATAAGGGGGAACATGCCAAGGGACTGCGTTTGTTTCGCAGCTTGCTTCTCAAGTTGATGGGGGGCCCCTCTTTGCAGGTGTGGGGGTGGGGGGGGAGGAGGGCTTCTCTGAGCAAGCCTACACCCCAAATCCTAAACCTCTTAACCCTAAGCTTTCAACCCTAAACCCTTTCTTGTATTGCGCGCGGCGCGCAGTGAAAATGTGCACTGAGCGACAGAGCTTCTACCTCTTCGAAGGGCTTTGGGACCAGCATGAACCTCTCTGGCCAGAACCTTTCGTGGGGTTTCGTGATTCGGGCTGAAGAGACTTGGGTCCGAGTCCCCGCACAAGGTGCCTTCTATCTGGTTCAAGTCTCTGAAGACTGGCCGTACAAACACTATGCCCATCTTGCAGTTGGAGCAGGACGCGGCATGAGCGAAGTCTCAAAGACTCCTTTGCCTGAACCCCCTGAGCCAGAGTTTGATCTTCCCTTTGGGATCCCCTACCAATCGCGTGACATTGCACGGAAACTCTCTCACCGGCTTGGCAAACCGGTTTAGGGTTTAGGGTTTAGGGTTTACGGTTTACGGTTTAGGGTACTTCTCAACCAATTGTAACTGTACGTGTAACCCACTTTATACGGCCCCGAAAGTGCCCTAATCTGGCTCTAAGTACAGTTATATGTACAGCTATAATGCTAGAACTGGTTCATAAGTACCATGAACCTCCAGGCAGAGTTGTTGCAATGATACTGACAAGGCCATGCGGCACTGGGCTTCTCTGAGCAGGCCTAAACCCTAAACCCGAACTATACCCTAAACCCTAAACCTGAAACCTTAAATTCTGGACCCGAAAACCTAAGCCCTTTGACACCGAAGACCCCCTCCGAAAGCACCGGCATCCCTCACTGCGGCAGGGCCTGTCACGCGAAGAACTTCGGCGTGCGCAAACCCTAAACCCAAAACCCAAAACCCAACACCCTAAACCCTAAACCCTAAACCCTAAACCCTAAACCCTAAACCCTAAACCCTAAACCCTAAACCCTTAAGTACCACGAACCTCCAAGTGGTGGCGTTTCGCGGAGGGTTTTCGAGCCCAAGGCCACAGCCACCGCCCTCAATGGCCCATCCTCCAGATCGAAAATGGCCTCCCCACGACTCAGGGGCTTAGGGTGGGAAACCTCCTGAAGTTCCACATCCTGAAGCCCCCTAAGCCCTAATTTCTAAATCCTAAGGCCCGAAACCATGTGCCCCAAATCCCCGCAAGCCCCGAACCCTTACCTAAACCTTAAAACGCTGAACTCCCTAAACCCTGAACCCTAAACCCTAAACCCTAAACCCTGAACCCTAAACCCTAAACCCAGAGAAGTCCGCGCGAGCGCCCCTCTGGAGCCAAGAGGTTGATCCCGACTACAACATCTACACCATGGTCTGGCAGCCCAAGATGCCTGGTAGGCGGTTTAGGAGGGTTTAGGGTTTAGGGTTTAGGGTTTAGGGTGTAGGGTTTAGGGTTTACGGTTTGGGGTTTAGGGTTTCGGGGTAACGACAAATACTCCTAGGGAATTTACATGGTCCCTTAGCATGGCCCCCTTGCCTTCCTCAAAGGGTAGTGAAATCTGGGCCCTTGGCACTTGGGTGTTGTAGGGTACGGAAGGGGTACGTATAAAAGGAAGCAGGGTTTATATTACTGTTTTTGGTGAGTGTATCCTTTTTAATATTGGTGAGTGTATATACCTGGTGTCCTTTTGGGGTACAAGAAATAGAAAATACCCGACTTCATATGAGGGTTCAGGGTTTAGGGTTTAGAGCTTAGGGTTTAGGGGTTCCCCAATTACTATCGCCCCCATAGGATTTTTTATATATACCCAAAGAATATTAAACACCATTTTTTACTACGTCTCCAAGGAGAGTATAGAGTAAGTGCCAAGGTTAAGGGACCATGTAACTACCCTAGGAAATATATCTGGTCATACTCTTTTGAGGAAACTTATAACACTATGTACTTTTAAACTACTCATGAACCTTCAAGTAGGGCGAGGGGTTGAGTGGTTGCGTTTGGAAGGTGTATAAGACAGTCTTCAGGCATATGCACCCAGATATATGTATGAACCATCGCGCCTCCTTAGCTAATCCAATCTTCTCTGGCCCGAACTTTAGGTATGTCATATTGGCCAGCCGTGGAAATCGTCAGAGACGACGTCGAAAGGGGCCCGCAAGGACTTAAAACCCTACTAAGGCCCTGTCCAAACCCTTTAAACCCGATTAAAACCCTATTGAAGCACTTCAAAAGCCTACAGTATTAACACCCCAATTCAAAATCATACTAAACCCCAAACCCGATCAAAACCCTATCACAACTCATTAGCACCCTATGAACACCCAATTAAAACCTTCTGGGAACCCTTTTACAAACCTACGAAAACCCGTTTCAAACCCCATTGAAACCCCAAACCCCAAACCGGGCCCTAAACCCTGAACTAGAAACCCTAAAACCCTAAAACCCTAAAACCCTAAACCCTAAACCCTAAACCCTCAAGAGCCCAGGCCCTGCCAGTGACCCTGCGCCGGCTCCTGTGCCCAGCGACCAGCGAAGCTCGGGAGGCGCCCCTTGTGGCTTCTGGGGGTTTGGGGTTTAGGGGTTGGGGTTTAGGGTTTAGGGTTTGGGGTTTAGGGTTTGGGGTTTAGGTCTAGGGCTTGGGGTTTAGGGTTTAGGGTTTGGGGTTTAGGGGTTTGGGATTTGGGGTTTGGGGTTTAGGGTTTAGGGTTTGGGGTTTAGGGGTTTAGGGTTTAGGGGTTTAGGGGTTTTGGGGGCTTTGCCCATGGTAGGGGGTGCCCAGGAGGTCGATTTTTCGGGGGTTCGGCTCGGGGCTCCCCGGGTGGAATCTTGAGGGTTTTTTTTTTGGGGTTTAGTGTTTAGGGTTTAGGGCTTGGGGTTTAGGGTTTAGGGTTTGGGGTTTAGGGTTTTGGGTTTGGGGTTTAGAAGGTTTAGGGTTTGGGGGTTTAGAAGGTTTAGGGTTTGGGGTTTGGGGTTTGGTCCTCTGCAAGGTTTAGAGGGTGTTTAGGGAGCACGGGAGACGAAACCCACAATGAAGAAAGAGACGTTTTGGTTGAGGGTTTGGGGGTGTCTTGTTCATTTAGGGTCTAACATTTAGGTCTGATTTTTTTGCGTTTAAGGCTTACCCCGAACCCTAAGCCCTAACGGAGGGCTTGACCCCCCCAGAAGCCTGGGCGCACCTTCTTGCGGTTTTTACGAGTTTGGGTTTAGCGTCTAGAGGGGGTTTGATTTTTTGTTTCTTTGTGTTTTGGGGTTTTGGGATGTTTGGAGGTTGCTGTTTTTTTTTTTTTGGTCGGTTTAGGGGAGGGCAAGATTTTAAGGGCTGTAAGAATAAAACCCCTACAAGGGACCCTGAGTCTTATTCCCCTGTATAACCCCCATATATATATATATATGTATATCTAGTATGGCCCCTTAACCCCTAAATAGCCCCCAAAGGTCCCTTCTAAGGGTCCCTCCTTTAGTTCTAAAGTGCTGCTGAGGCTCCGGCGCACGCAGCCTGAAGCGCACTGGGTTTAGGGTTCAGG